GTAAAGCGGCCGAGGCGTTAAGCTGACTACTCGCCTCCACAAGGTTCTGCTGTGAATAAGCTAAGTTCACTTTATCCAACATACGCGCCATTAGACTATGAAAGAGAAGAAATACCACGAAGTGAAACAGCCGTCAATTACTTAAACCAACGCGCTGTCAAACACTGCCACGTCAAGACCTGCACAAAGCAACTGACACAGTGTTTACAGAACCCATTCAATCCGAAGCGAGAATGCGGCAGGATTTTCGGTCTCACGGTGACATCAGGTCTGTAAAGTGTCAGGGAAAGAACACGGGGAATATGTAAGGCCATTGGAATCGTGAACACGTCTTTCACGTCTCTGTGCACTAACAAGTTTGAACAGTCGGCCGAACTATACAAAACCCAGCACAATCATTGAACACAATAAGAACACGGCCCGGAATCGAACCAACTGACACGACGAACGTGAATTTTAGATGCATCCGGCTGGAATCTTGGCGTGAGAGTGTTTTTTTCTTCTTCAGTTTTTCACTTCATCAAAATACTGGAACACTGTCTTAAAATGAGCTACGAGCTCAGATTACCTACCAAATATTCATTCACAACCACCATGCAGTTTAGACACGCTTTATATTTAATACTGCCAGCAAAGTGTCACAATTGAACAAACAAACAAAGCCCGAAGGATAACTACACTTCGGGCTTTGTTTGTTTGTTCAATTGTGACACTTTGCTGGCAGTATTAATTATAAAGCGTGTCTAAACAGCATGGTGGTTGTGAATGAAGATTTGGTAGGTAATCTGGGCTAGTAGTTCATTTTAAAACAACGTTCCAGTATAATACTTTTGAAGTTTTCTGTCTTCTGGGTTGTCATCAGGGAGATGAATGTTCATCGCCCTGATGACGGTGGCAGTATGACCTCTGAAACGTTGGGTAACATCGACCAGACTACACAGCGCAACAACCCAGAAGACTGAAATCTTCATACTCATCGCCCTGATGATGGCGGCAGTATGACCTCTGAAACGTTGGGTAACATCGACCAGACTACACAGCGCAACAACCCAGAAGACTGAAATCTTCATACTCATCGCCCTGATGATGGCGGCAGTATGACCTCTGAAACGTTGGGTAACATCGACCAGACTACACAGCGCAACAACCCAGAAGACTGAAATCTTCATACTCATCGCCCTGATGATGGCGGCAGTATGACCTCTGAAACGTTGGGTAACATCGACCAGACTACACAGCGCAACAACCCAGAAGACTGAAATCTTCATACTCATCGCCCTGATGATGGCGGCAGTATGACCTCTGAAACGTTGGGTAACATCGACCAGACTACACAGCGCAACAACCCAGAAGACTGAAATCTTCATACTCATCGCCCTGATGATGGCGGCAGTATGACCTCTGAAACGTTGGGTAACATCGACCAGACTACACAGCGCAACAACCCAGAAGACAGAAATCGTCATATTCACTGCTGTGAAAACCTCAAATCATGAATAATACTTTTCTTATATATTTCAACACACTACTTATTTATTTCAAAGAACAAGTTTAAATTCATAGACAATGGAAGTTGGCTAGGCCATCCTGCCCAAATATGATCATATGAAATGAGTCACAGGAAACGTGTAAATTTGCAGCCACTAGTCTGAGAAGTTGCTTCACTGAATACCACAATGATGGTAAGTCCTCTCTAATCGGAGAGTCTGGTTCCCATAGAAGTACTCCCAAGCTATAAAAGTTATCCAAAATACAAGATCTTTCTTCTGTTCGTAAAGACAGATGAGGAATATATAACTTCCACTAAGGTGGCAGTTAATGGCCTTTTTTGAGTGAGGAGCTGTAAATATGTCAATGGAAAATTCTCCCTGTTCCAGAGGTTTCCAAAAGGGAATGAGGGTTGAAACCCAATAAAAACATTTGTTGCTGCCTTTCTAAACCCTCGTCCTCTGTACTCCTAAAAGCAATGTCATATAAGAAAGGTTGTTATTTAAAAGTCGGCTTTTAGCCCTAGGATACGGAACTAAGTGCCACAGACGAACCCATATGTGGTACAAATTCCGTTTAAGGCACAGTGTAAGTGTATAACAGACCTAACATTAATTGGTTAAAATTGCTCTTAATGGACTTGGGGGACACACAACCAAAGACTTATGGACTTTGAGCAAAAAATCAGTATGTTTTTTTAGTGTTGACGGAATTATAGGAGTCGCCTCGGTAACTGATGAGAGTCGGCTTCCGTAATGGCAATGAGGAATGTCAGATACGGTACAAACACACAGCACACTTTCCATACTTTAATTAATGGAATATTTTCTGTTTCTGAAATATTATGTAGCCGATTTCCGTAAACATGAAGAAGTTATGGTTGGACCTGCCATAAGAGATATTCTTTTTCATTCCGACCTAAATTCAAGTCTCTTTATGTGTGTCACTTCGTTTTCATGCCACGGTACTTGTAATATATGCTATTTCCTCGTACTAAAAGACTTGTTGCACAACCGTGAAAGGAACGGGCGAAAGTGTTTTATACGTCTAAACTGAAACTTCTGAGAGAAAACGAATATTTTGTGCAAAATAAATAAATAACTTTTTGCAAGAAAGCATGTTTCGTCTTCGGATCTACTCGAAGGAATACGACGAAATTTAGTACTGGGTTCAAGAGGGTCTACATTAATATTTTTTGGGCGAATTACGTTTTTATCGATAAGACACATAACCCATATTTCACTTGAAGCTGAAAACGATCTTCATCGACTTTTTTTTTTCAAAAACGGCTTATCGCACTAGAATGTAGCGCATTGCCTTCAGTATATAGTTCATTGAGGTCATTAGCTGGTAGGTTCCTTGAAATACTTCTGAATGCTGTAAATAGGCTATCTAATAAAGTACATATTATGGCTGAAAAAAACATTTGCGCCTTAACGGAACATAATTCGATGTTGCTTTTCATTTATTTTTCCTTCCGGTTTCAAAACCTGCACATTTGAATTATTGACTGAATATTATCAAAAAAGGGGTCCGCAGTGGCCGCGCGGTCTGATGCGTGGGCCTTGTGCCGCTTGGTCGCTGGGACCGTGGGTTCGAATCCCACTCAAGCCATGGATGTCTCTGTTGTGCTGTCCTGTTTACAGGTAGAGGCCTTGCGACGGGCCGATCCCTCGTGAAAGGAGTCCTACCGAATGTCTTAGATCTAAGCCAACGTAAAGTTGGGACCCGCAGTGCTCAGGCACTTGAAGAACGGGTCGTTCCCAGTATCCCCCAGTATATTATCAAAACGACATGTAAAACTTGTTTGACAAAGATAAGCCACGATAATTGTTATAATTAAAGTAAGTTTCATTAATGGTTACAACTGTAATTTACTTCATTTTCGTATTACGTTCATCTGTATATTTCCATGCCAGCCTCTTTACAGAAAGAAAAATAAAATTTTGCGTTGTTCTCCATAGTACGCCAAGGCGAACTTTCAACTATCGTTACGTCTCATTCTCGACATCTGCGGGGTGAACATAAACCTGTGCTGGATTAGGCTGTAGTTCTTACAGCAGTCTTGGTTCGGGCGGTTACTCGTCAATTTCTCACGGCGAGTAGTCCAGTGGGATTTGTATTGAACAAAGTGGCACTGTGACAGATTTATCTCCGAGTCCTTACATTTTCCCCTGTCAGTATCATTGTACCGCAACTTCATATTCATGTCTTGTCACTTGAGGGATGAACAATACGCCATTTAACAACCGCAGTTCCACTGAGACAAGTCTCAAAACACCGCAACAACAACAAAAGAAAAACAACAGGCATTTGGTAAATCTACAAAGTACGGAAGCGTCCCTGATAATCGATACTGTCATTAATACGGTCAATGAATGTTTATTGCTGTGGTAAATATTGTTCAGAATTTTGCTTCACAGTTCATTGTCAAGTAGCCTCCCCCACCCAAAAAAAAATTACACTCTCTGCCTTGTCAGTGTGTGTAATTACTGGTTTAATAAACTAATTTAATCCAATATCGACAGCATTTACAATCACGCTTGCAAAGAGTTTGGAATAACAACGTAAAAGATATCCTCACAAGTTTGTAAAATAACCTACAGGCGGACGGCATGATGGTAAACGCAGGACATTGGTTGTAAAGCTAGTCTCATGTGCAAAATTAACAGCGTACATTTGATTACCTTACCTGTGTCAGTATTGGCTGCAAACAGCTGGAGACACTTGGAATAATATTCGGACCAATCACTGTAACAAAAGACAGACACGAAATTAAGCTACTTGTCATCTGAAGAAAACCACTCAGTTCTAATAATTACATGACAACATTTTATTTCAGGTCAGACGCCGCGTGGGCAAATACCATGACGCGCTAGTAAAAGATACCCCATAAATAGCGTCAACACCGACAGACTGAGGGTGTCAAATAAAATCAGAAGATCCTTGTGTATAATGAATCGAAATGTAAAGCGTTTGTGGGCCATTTTATCTTCCGACTATCTCCAGCAGTTACTGGAAAAGGCGATTGAAGGCTCCAGCAATAGCACCCACGTACTTCGGAACCAAATATCAGGCGTGTTAGCGCTTGAAAGCTGCAGGGTCAAACAGACGTTGGCATCAGATGCCAAAATTAGGTCCAGCACCTTCAGCTGGATACGATTCTGAGCCAGTTAAATCTTGTACAGAATACAGCCACCTTCATACACGCTGCCTAGAATCTCATATATCTAATCAACATCGTCACAACATATTTTCATAAAAATTAATATTATTATCATGTTATCATCACTTTTTAAGTCCTTGAAGCACGAAGTTCTTCCAAATAACTATTCATTCAGTTCGCATATATATATATATATATATATATTACATTAATTAATTAAGAAGGATGTAATATCAACTAACGTGGCTCAGAATAGCCTAATTGTAGACTTTTGTGATAAAGACGATAAACCCTCAACACAGATGGCTGTCTATCGGGTTGTAGCGCCGTGTAGTTTGGCAGAAGTTTACCAGAGTTACAGAGGTCATCGCCCTGATTATGGAGGCAGCAAGGACCTCTGAAACGTTGGTAAACGTCGACCAGAATTCGTACTCACTGCTGTGAAAACCTCAAATCCTACACAACCTTCAACATACATTATAATAGAGATTCTGTTTATTTTTTCAGAGGCCTCGAGTTCAGTTCTTCGCTCAATGACAGCCTATCCTGGCTAGTGGTTTTGTAGTTTTCATAAGCGAAGTTCGATTCCAGATAGGTACAAAAATATTTCTCTTAGCTGCTGAGTTAAAAGTATCTATCAGGCTGGCCCAACCTACTTGTACCGTCAGCGATTTTCTCGAGAAGTGACAGGTGCCTGATGCTAACCAGTAACCCGAATACAATACCAAGGCTAGGAATGCATAGAATGTTACAACCACTCCCACACACTCCTACGAACGTCGTGGTCGAGTGGTTAGCACTCCTGATCCGTATTTGGGAAATCTAAGCTTCATATCTTGGCCGGGGGACTTTTTTTTCGTGATTTTTCTCAGTATTTCCAGACAAATGCGTTAAATTTGGCTATGATCACTTCCATCTACATTCTTTCCAATTCATAACATCACATATGGCTTGAACTGAGGGCGTAGATAACGAACCCCCTCGTAACCTGGTGTCAGTTCACTCCAAAACTTACTAGTAAGAAATTGTGCCCGCTTACCTCGTTGCTTCAGTGACCCCCTGGTAAATTAACTAAGGATCTGCAGTTTCGGATTTAAACACAGTTAATTTTGCTCGAAAAATTCATCTGAATGTATGTAATTCACAAACGAAAATAATTACACACAACAACCAAAATTTCTCAGAACAATAAGAATGTATGATTTGAGGTTTTCACAGCGGTGAGTATGAAGATTTCTGTTTTCTGGGTTGTTGAGCTGTCATCAGGGCGATGAATTCATCGCCCTGATGACGGAGGCAGTACGACCTCTGAAACGTTGGTAAACATCGACCAGACTACACGGCGCAACAACCCAGAAGACAGAAATCTTCAACAGTAAGAATATTTGCAGAAATATTAAAACAGAAATACCAGTCGCTGCCAAATGGTCGCCATCACTGACCAAGACAGAATCTGTGCCAGCAGAAAACGTAGCGCCTTCTTGCTGTAGCAAGTGAAAAGGGACTATGACTGTAGAACACGGTCCTTCAGAGCGGTCACCATGAGAAATGTTAAAACCTGTCCGCTGGATACCTCAGTCTTGGCCCTTGCCAACTAAACACATCCTACGATACGTTGAGCTTCTCCTCCAAGAAAATTCGTAACAAACTGCAGCCGAAATCTCATATCAAAACACAATTAGTTTCTCCGTTTTAAATACGCAATTTTCAACCACGATTATTGAGTTCCATTCAACTACTAAAATATTTCATACTTTGCAAATCCTCCATTTATTTTTAAATTCAGGATTTACCAACCAAACTGTTACAACATTTTCGAACGTATATGAAGCTGAATTTATCAAGTGATAGACTAGCTATATTATTCGCTATTTCAATATTAAAAGAATAAAACATACACGACTGTCATTTAGAATACTTTAGCGTGCTTCAATTGTATCAATAAAAATTAACTCACTTTAAACTAGTGGTAGAGAGATTGGTCTAAATGTATACCCAGAGAAAATTAAGTACTAAGTGGCATACAGAGTGATTCAAAGCTCTGATACAATCCTTAGGGAGTTCCTGAGGAAATAATTTAAAGTAGAAAATGTAAGCAGACACTCCACCGTTTCCGAGTGACGACGGTTTATATTGTGTCGTCTTCTATCAGGTCCAGTGACAGGTTCATGTGAACTTATTACTGAGTCTTCGGGTTGAGAGAAAGGCGGAAAATTTCTAGATCAGATAAGTGACCAAGAAAATTCTGCTCCACGGAGCTAGTTAACTTATTCTTTTACTAATTTCTCTTGAATTATTGCATCACGATGATAATGCTAGCAACCAACAATTAATACCTGTAAGTTTTTTGGAGCTGCATTTGAATAAACAGACTCACAAGCATGCCATTGACATAAATCTGGGTCCACTCATCACAAAAAATTTTCTCCTTTAAACTAAGCTTTGTCATGCTATTTCAGATATTTGGCGAAAAATAATATTCAAAGATTAGGAGTCCCCAAGCAACGACAAGCCATATATCTTGTGCGACTTTCTTGATTGTGTTCCTAGGTCTTAAAAGGTCAATGTGTCTGCATTAAATCCTCTCTCGGGCTAAATGCGACCGAAATTTGGGGCATTGCCACATTGGTGAAATTTTTTCTTAATCAAAGTTTATTAATGCTAGTTCATTATTTCCATTTATGTAATATTTCATAACAAAGATATTGTTTTATTTAAAATAAACGGCTCTTGGAAAAGTAATTATAAGTATTATTATTATTTATTACGAATACTCACGTTATTACCGTAAAATTGGCATAAGCCTTCAAAGCGAGGAATCTACATGGAATACTGAGGAAAATATCGGAAAATAATTTTAAACCAGAAAGAATGTTCACGAAATATAAATTAGATGAACTTGCCCAGGATGGCGTCTAGCAGTGATGTCTTCTGCTAGTGTTCTTAAACCACTGAGCTATATAATACGACTTTGTTGGTAGTTAGTTAGTCAATTATTGGTTACTTTCTTAATACTTATTATCTATACCCCTCTGCATGGCTCTACAGTCCTTGAAGGACCATGGACTCCTCACATATAGGAGGTTTCTTAGGGTATTTCGATATTTGGTAAGACTGACTGGACGAGTGATCAGCCAAAAGACAAGAGGACACCGCAACACGTAGAAACACGCGGTCAGAACATCCATGCCTTCAGCGGGATACAAACCCACGGTCCCAGCGTACGAATGATCATGGCCCGTGGCTCAGACCGCGCTGACCGTACTGACAGACGATCAGCCTCACCACATCCACCAAAACCACTGTCTGCAGAATCAGCAGAGCAACATCACTGTGGCAGAGCAAGGAGGCAGATTGGAGCAGGGCCGGCCTCTGCTAGCTGTTGTAGTATGGAATTTGAAGAATGTGGGCAGACGGCGAGCGTGGAGTCGTCAAACGGATACAGAACACAACAGAGTTCGTCTTGTACTGCAGTATTATAACCTGAAGTCGCGTATCAAACAAAGCACACAGGAGTTTTATCTTGTAGTGCCGAATTCTGATCTGAAGTATCAGAGTACACAGAAATTACGTCTTGTACTTTGGAAATCAAATCATGAACCACGTATTAAATAAAGTACAACGGATTTTCGTATTGGACTACTGGAATCTCATCGGAAGAAGAGTTTTATAGAACACACAGAGTTCTGTTTAGTACTGAAAAACTAAACCAGTTTGATTATTCGATTCCAAAACAAAAGAACACTTTTCGAAATTTCTTATATAAGATAAAATTAAGAACTTTTTTTAATTTCTTTGTCAGCTTCGGAATTTATCTGTGACATGTTGAAATTCGTGTCTTCATTCGTGTAAAGTTGTAACACTCCCAGGCTCGGCCTTCAGGGCGAATTGAGTACGAAAATACTTTATCACGGTGGGCCTATAAAATTTGACCGGTGTGCTGCGGAGAAACAGTTTATTGTGCGCTGTCACTGGTGCGCGCTAAAACCATTTTCTAGTGAATAGGAATCAACATTCGAAACTAAGAGGGCCTTTTAAGGTCACTGCCTCTTATTCTTGACCGAGGTGTGCATAATTAGAAGTAAAAACAATGTATCCTGAAGAGCGAAAAGTACTGCAAAATCAATTATATCATGGTGTCAGCATCTAGACGTTTTAACAAAAAAATTCTAATACACGTTTCACCTCGTAAGGAACTTTTCTTTAGATTATTAGCCAATAATAAAATTATTTAATTATTACCCTATTTATCCTACCAGTAATAGGTTCCTTGTGGAATTTTTATCAATTTTCAACTAATCCTCTATATAAGATTTGAGGTTTTCACAGCGGTGATTATGAAGATTTCTGTATTCTGGGTTGTTTCGCTGTGTAGTCTGGTCGATGTTTACCAACCTCTTCATCGCCCTGATGATGGAGGCAGTATGACCTCTGAAACGTTGGTAAACATCGACCAGACTACACAGAGCAACAACCCGGAAGACAGAAATCTTAATTCTCTATAGTTCAAACATTCTCCTTAGTAAAAATTCCGTGTAAATTAAAATTAATTAGAAATTTGAGATAAAATACACTTTCATACGCAGTTT